AAAAAACATCATAAAAGCAATCCAGTCTCCTACGTGCAATATACATCATTCACAAGTAAGTGCAAATCTTCCCTAGTAAATTTCCATAGAGTTCTCAAATAGCTTTGCCAAGTCCTCCCTGCTCTGCTGGCGTGGTGCCAGTTTAGTTATACGCTCCTGCGGCAAAGTACCTTCCACCAATGCTGGAATATCACCACTATTGAAGCCCAAAGCATTTAGTCCATTCTCAATACCAGCGCGTTGCATAAATGAACGTACTGTGTCAGCCAAGATTCGACCGGCGTCGGCCAATTTCGCATTGCTGGTGTCTGCGCCAAGTATTTGAGCGGCCTCCAAGTGCCGTTGCGGGCATGCCGGCGCCGTGAACTGAAATACAGCTGGTGCACTTATGACCACCGATAGACCGTGTGGTACAATTGCATGTGTATCCGCATAACCCTCGGGCCGGTAATCACGAACATTGCCGGAGATTGGATAAGACAGCCCGTGACAAAGGTGCACACCAGCGTTACCAAAGCCCACACCAGCCATAGCAGAGGCGAGATGCATTTGTGAACGTGCTTTCTCATTGTCTGGCTGGTAAATGGCATTGATGAAGTGATCCCGTATTATTTGCAGTGAAAAACGCGCCCACACATCAGAAATAGGATTGCGACCTTGGTAGGGAGGACGTAGGCTAGGGTCAGTAGGTGCGGGGCCACGTTCGCGATAATCTATGGCAGTGAAGCTTTCAAGTGCGTGACAGAAAACGTCGAAACCACAAAACGCAGTGACACGCTCGGGTTGTGTCAGTGTGTGCAGAGGATCGATGATAGCTGCAAAGAAAGAAAATTAATATAAAATCGAATTATAAGTTTCACCTCGTTCTATACCTAATTTAGGTTTTAAAAGTTTACTGGAGATCCCAGTTTTCGCATGCAACTTTTTGTAATCAAAAATTGCTACACCGGTAGTCTCAGAACCGGTGCCTGAAGTGGTCGGCAGCGCGATCAACGGTTTCAAATCGACATTTATCTTAAAATACAAACAATAATAACACAAAATGACATGTTCAAGGGAATCAGTTTCTTAAATACCTCTTTGCCTTTGCCAATCGGCTTGTTCACATAATCCAAAAATTCCGCCTCCCTATCACAAGCGAATAAATTAGCTGCTTTGCAAGTATCAATTACGGAACCACCACCAATTGCTACAAAAGCATCAAATTGTTTTCCCCTTGCGAAGGTCGCAGCATCCCATAAACTTGCGTCTGTCGGTTCAACGCGAGTCTTGTCATAGACTTCATATGCTATGCCATGACGGCTTAGCGAATCAAAAGCTGTGCGTACACTAGGTAATTTTGCAACGTTCACGTCAGTGACCAAACAAACGGACTTTGCACCCCAGTTGCGAAGATCGGCACCAAGCTCTGCTGAAACACCTGGACCAAAACGCACCGTTGAGGAAGACATCTACAGGTTCAAAAAGAGGTTACATCTTATTTTCAACTAGTTAAATAACCGATTGCGTCCACCTCGAATGCATATTCCATTTTGCCGGTTCGATTGGCCGCAGCCAGTTGGTCGGTGCCCGAACTGTAGCCATGTGAATGTGCCGGGCAGCTACAGCTAAACGAAAAAGTAAACATTTTGTTTGAATTTATTGATCAGAAAAAACTTACGATTTGCTAACAATGGCTTGCATTAAATGAACTGCATTTTTTCGCGACATTTTCGTGGCACTTAATTTAACTAAACTTGTGTAGGTATGTAGTATGCGATCAGCTGCTTGCACTGATAAGATGCTCAATCGGCTTTGTTATCGA